GGGGGGAGGACCAGAGAGGATAATTCAACCACTCAACCACTAGATGTCGCTGAAAACAACAAATCCTACACACTGTGCCTTTAATGTGAAATAAATAATACAGAAATACTATTTAAAGTAAAAGTAGGAGAGTTTTGCTCACTGATGAGTTGTGGTGAAGCTGCCATCTTGAATTCCCATACATCGAAATGCATTATGGGAAATTTAGTTAATGCTGACTTTAATAAATTAAAAGTTTATCATTGATATAAAAACTATTTTCATATTAAATTATGGCATTGGTAGACTGGATCTGCATACCTTGAGTTTGACACGTGGTCTAAAACTGAGATGCAAATAAACTTTGTATTAAAACCAGCGTGTTTTCTTCTTCCTGGGTGTTTGTTTGAATGGGTGAATGATGGCGTTTGAAGGCCTGTGACCCAAATTAGAGCCTCAGAGGGCAGCAGCTGGCAGTGGGCTACAAATGGGGCTTGAGTGAAAAAGAGAGGAGGGGGAATAATTACTTTTTTTTAGCGCAAACGCTTTGGTTTAGACGTTCCATAGACAACGGATTCCTACGTTCTCCTCCTCCTCCTCCCACCATGCTTGTCCACTGGGAGGGGAGGGTATTAACCTCTCATAAGTGCAAAGAGCTGCAACCCCACAGTGGCTGGACGGGTGGAGGATGGGTGGACGGGCTCTTTTTCGAAGCAAACATTCAAAATCTCTCCAGTTTCACCTGAGTTTCCACAGGTGTGGTGCTGCGGGAGCTGTTGGGTGGTGATCTTTTGCATAAACAGATTGAGTTGAGCMGTGATTATTCCTCTCTTTCTTTCTGAAAGCCAGTCAAGTCAAGGAATGAGACTAGCATGCCRCACTTAAAGGGGAGGGTAAGGGTGTGTATTGAGGGTTGCATTGGGTGTCCCATGGGCAAGTGTTGGACTATGTGTGTCTGAAAATAGGGACGGCTTGTGGATGGATGCTTTTCCCACAGCTCCATGGTCCTGTCAGCTATACAGGCACATTCCTCACAAATGTCCACAATGTTGACARCAAGCAAAACCTCTGGAGGCTTTAACTCTCAAAAATGCATATAAGAGGTGTCAAACTGTGCGCGATATTTATTACGTGGAAATATTTGCGGTGCCACGTGTAAAATAAACATTTTTATTATTATTTAGCTCACTGTAGCTGCGTTTCCATTGCAAATGTACGCAAAACTTTGTCGATATTCTGTTAATGTCGAAAAACACAGTTTCGCAGTGTTTCCTTTAAGAAAGAAATGCTATTAAAGTCACGCGTGAATACGTTTGCGATAAGTCATTACAAACATGGCGGCGATGGATGTAAACACATAGCATGTTGCTACCGCTACACTAGCGCTCATCATCAGAGGAGACGTCGGCGTCTTTTATCGAGGCTTTCCAGCGACAAGCCCCTACTTGGGAGCGGCTACGTCTGCTGTGTTTTTGTGAAATTGTAGTCTGTGAGCTTTCTTTTACTACTTCTGTGATATTACTACTATTTCCTGTTATCTTCTTCATCATCGTCTTTTTCACCAGTAGAAACAGTCGGTTGTTGATCACGTGACACGTGATGCGAAAAAAGTGTTTCTATTGCAGTTTTGCGAAAAACACCAATTTCGATACGGCCGAAAAACCACCTCATCCTAGCACAAAAACATTTGTCGAAAAACGTCTTTTTCCCCCCGAAATTGACGTGTTTCCATTGAGCAAATTTATTTTCAAAATTCTAATTTGTGCATTTTCATGGTGAATGGAAACACAGCTTCTGAAGCAGAATATTAGGGCTGCACAGCAGCAGGAACACCTGTGGTGTGTGATAACAGTGCTTTATATTGTGATGATGATATGACTTGTGATAAATACATAAATATGTAGAGTTTATCTTTCTGCTCGAGGTTCAGAACAAACAAAAATCCATCCATCCATTTTCTGTACACGCTTCTTCCTTTTCAGGGTTGCGTGGGTCACTGGTGCCCATATCCAGC